AAGCTGCAGAGATGCAGCAGCGTCGTTGGCATTCGGCGCATGCTTCGCTGAAACCACACTTCTGCCTCCTCTCGCAGCTCGCTGCGCTCGCAGAGATGTTCATTTTCAGATTTCACACTTGATTTAGAGCCAAACCAGCAACATTTAGAACTCAATCAATCTTCCTGTTTTACATACAACCTGAAAGAGCCGTAATTTTCCAATCAGCCTCAGCAGTTGCTGCTGTCACTTCCAATGTATCGCAACATCCCCCAAAACCTTCAAGACTGTGAGCAAAGCCCACTCGGTATTAAAGCGGCATGCAGCGCTGCAATATCAAACCAGCCAGCGCCTCACATTCCCTGCAGAAGCCTCTAAATCTTCCAGCAGAAGCACAGCATCAGCCGACCCCGCCTCATCCCCAGCACTGCGTTATTAACGTGAATATCAACAGACTCTCCCAGTGAGGTGCATCCAGCTCGCTGGCGCCCTCATCCATTCTGCTATCCTCCCTCTGCACACATCATCTGTTTTGGGCTCCTGGGCCATACATCAATGTGGCGGGCCAGAGAAAAGCTCTTTAAGTTGCATAAACACAATGTCGCCCGGGCACCCACCAGCTGCCCGTGATGGATGGGACCGCACACAGAAGAGGGAGCCGGATCCATCCAGGAGCTGACGGCGGAGCAGCGCCGAGCGGGCGGAGAGGCTGCGTGGTCGGCGCTGACGCTGAGGCCGAGCTGCAAAGAGGACATTAATCACGCCGGCCTCGGCCTGACTGAGCCTTTCACCCAAACGCTGCGCTCCAGGGATGGTTACTCTACGCTGCTCGAGCGTTTGTTTCTTCCTCGCTAATCGCGGCGACCAAACCTGCTCCGATCCATCAGCTGGTTACCGTAACAACAGGTGTGACGAATACGCGCAAAAAACAAAAACCTGCACAAACTACAGACACCTTCAGAGGCTCGACAGCAACCGACCGACGAGTACAGGTCACTGATCAGGAAGAGGACTGCACACTCATCAGCTGAGCTGAGCAAAGCTCCTCTAATCCAACCACAGAGATATGAAGCTATGAGCAGAGCAGGTCCAAAGAGCCAATCAGAGAGCAGGATAAGGCTATCATCAGAGTCTGCAGACAGAAGACACCTGAAATAATCCTGTTATATTCATCTAAAAACTGCAGAATTTAGAGTTTTGGATTCGACTACTTACTGATGTTTTTGTAAAAAGTCTTTGCTGTTGAAATGTTGCTGGAATACTGTGGGAATACTGTGGGAATACTGTGGGAATACTAGGAATACTGTGGGAATACTGTGGGAATACTGTGGGAATACTGCGGCTCTGACACGGAGCCGCACGGATAAAAGAAACGAGCTGAGCAGACTAAAAGCTTCTTCGCTGTGCAAAGGACGAATGAGACTGCAGCAGAGGTGTGACATCACAGACAGGTGTGATGTCACAGGCCGCTAGCTTACTGCAGGCCAACGGAAGATCGGCAAGCTTTCCTGCTCTGCGATTGGCTGCTGTTACAGAGATAGCGGGAAACAAAGATCCCGCCCACCTGGCACTGAAGTGTCTGAGTGAGTCTTGCCTCACTGGTTTAAACCCAACAAATACAACCTGTGCTGTGTGTGTGTGTGTCTGTGTGTAGGAGGATAAGAACATGAAGAAGAAAACACAAAAACAAAAAACTAATTCCTCCTACACTGTAACAGACACTAATGAAACCACATTTTGCGCGCGCGCGCACACACACACACACACACACACACACACACACACACACACACACACACACAAACACATTTTTGCACACACACACCTTCGTTACATCACTCCATGTTGTCCCCTTTCCTTCCTTCATCCTTTACTTGCTGCTGCCTGAATCTGTATTTGCATGTTGAAATTGTGTGTGTGTGTGTGCGGTGTGTGTGTGGTGTGACAGAGCAGAGTCTTCTCCTTCCTCATCTTATTCTGCTCCAGAGCAGCAGGTAATAATAAGCACAAAGGCCAGTATGTTACTGCTGCCTCTCATTCTCAATGTCCACCCCAAAAAGCCTCTCACTCACTCACACACACACACACACACACACACACACACACACACACACACACACACACACCTGTTTGTACTCATGTATCTGTGAGGACTCTGCTCCTGTGTTTCTGACGTTTTGACTCCTTAAATCAGGGGTGTCAAACTCAGATACACAGTGGGCCAAAATTCAAAACTGGAACAAAGTCGCGGGCTAACGTTAATATTTATTAAATATATTTATTCCTCCAGATATAAGAATGAATCTTTTCTTATGGACTCAAACAAGTTTTGCTGAAAAACTGAATATGGAACAAGCAAAGCCTAATAATAAACAATATATATATTAGCTGTATAATAGTAGGCCAGCTCTGATAGTAATTTGTATGGCTTCGCGGGCCAAATGTAATTAAGGCTGCGGGCCAAATTTGGCCCACGGGCCAGAGTTTGACACCTATGCTTTAAATGTTTCTCTCGCTCTAACTCAAAATAATAAGACTCACCTGACCTGTTTTGTTTTGTGATATATCAAAGGTGAGGTTGTTGTGTGTGTGTTGTCTTCATGATGCATTCTGCAGCATTGTTGCCTCTCACACAGATCAGATTTTTATGATATTACTGCTTTCTTTAATCAAACATGTTTTGGACATCGTGGCTCCGTTAGCAGATGAAGAACCCTCCGTCTATTCTGAGGACAAACTACAGCCCCCACAATGCTGTGAGGCATGTAAACAATGTGTGTTTCCGTTTGTGTTTTTAGTGTTTCTCTTATTGTTTTTAGTGAAGTCTGTGAAAGCAGCAGAACTCTGTGAGAGCGGCTCCAGCCTGCAGTGAGTCATCGATGCTCAGGTGAGCCGCCGCTGATTACGGCGAGGGCGAAGGAAACCGAGAAACAGGCAGACTCTCAGGCAGCTTCTGACCTCTGTGGTTCTACTTTGGTTTGAATGAACATCAGATGTGATGAAACAAAGGGAGGAGCGGCTGCAGCGTCTCTGCAGTCAGACTAATGCTCTGTTTCATCAACAGACACGAGGAAGCTTTGAATCACCTCAGGAGACGACGACCCCTCTGAGGGACACACTTTACCTAATTATGACTTCATCAGATTTTTACTGCTGAACAAACCAGATAGAAAATAAAGTCAGGAGCACCAGCCCACTGTGGACGGGCTTCAGCGAGGCCCCCGGGAACTGAGACTGAACTGTAACTAAACTAGACCAGCCAAAGCGATGCTAGTTTTAGTGTAATGAAAAACAAAAAGTTGAACTCTGCTCGACTCCTTTTTACAGCTTCTTGTTGCTTCTGCGGATGGAGGGAAAATCAGCGAGCCCTGTCTGCATTTTATTTTACAGTCATATTACTGCACGTCTCTAATCCCACGCCTGCCTTTGGATTCTTTACCTGCAGGTGAGACGCCACAGGTACACTGACCTCTGACCTCTGACCGCAGACAAAGCAAGCATACAAATCACAACATGACCAAAAATGGCTGAGACACAAAACTGCCCGACAAAGAGGGACAAGAAAGCGAAATGACAAAGTCAAAATACATACAGAGCTCACAAACACAAAGACCCAGAAAGACTCAAGAACCCTGAAGGAACCGGACAAACAACAAGACCTACTGGGAAAGACAAAATACTAGATCTCAGGCTCCAAACAGCCACGCCCTCCTGCTTTACATCAAACAGCCTAAAATCACCGGACGTGTCTCAAAAGAGCCAAAGTCAGAGGCAAAAACCTGCTGAGGAGACAAAAAAGGACCAAATGCCCAGAAAACAAAACCACAGAAAGCAAAAAGACAAATACAGTGAAGTATGTTGATGACCACCGTGATGACATCATCGTGGTGATGTCACCCTGTAGGGTGGAGGTAGAGAAGTTGTCCCGCTGGTGCTCACAGAAGAACCAGAAGCTGAACGACCCTAAGACCAAAGAACTCATCATGGACCTCAGGAGGCACAGACAGCTCCCCTCCTCCCTCGTTATAAATGGAGAACAGGTGGAATCTGTCTCCACCTTCAGGTTTCTCCTCTGATCTCACCTGGACCCACAACACCATCTCCGTGGTAAAGAAGGCCCAGCAGCGGCTGCGCTTCCTTCATGTCCTGAGAAGAACCTGGACCAGGAGCTGCTGCTGGTCTTCTACCCTCCTCAGTGGAGAGCGAGGTCTCCTCCTGCCTGGTGTTTGTACTCAGGGGCCACGACTGAGAGCAGGAAGGCTGCACAGAGGGTCATTAACACCGCCCAAAAATCATTAGGTGCCCTCTGACGTCCCTGGAGGCCATCGCCAGATCGACCTGTCTCAGGTAAACCAGGGCCATCACAGGTGACCCCTACACCCCGCCCACCACCTATTCGACCTGCTGGCCTCTGGTCAAGCTTAAGCTCAATCAGGTCCCACAGCTCCAGACTCACTAACAGCTTCTTCCACTGGGCCATTCGGACTTAACAAACAATATGTATACATATATCACATTGTATGATTTGTTATATGTATACATATATATACACATATAAACAAAACACCCAGCACGCCCCTGCGGGCAGTTTATCCTTCAAGCTCGGGTCCTGCAGTATCTTAGCTGTTCCCAGGACTGCGCTCTTCTAATGCAGCACTACGGACAATACCATATTATATATATTATATACGCACACGCACACACCACACACACACACACACACACACACACATACATATATACATATATTTATATATATATATATGTATGTATATGTATATATATATATATATATATATATATATTAATGATTCATTAATCATTCCAAAAAAACAAAAGTGCAGCTTGCACGTATCAGTCACACTTTCAGCCAGGAGACTTGGGGTTGATCCTCTGTGGAGATGTTATTGGTTAGGTGGTTGGTACCAAGCTGCTGATGTTGGCAGAGTTAACATGACGCAGAAACTTCATCACCAATATTTTCACAAATTAAAACATCCAAAACTGTAAGTCAGTCTTACCTTTTCTGCCGACTGCGCCGTGCCAAAGAAGATGGGGATGAAGGCCAGCCACACGATGCAGGTGGTGTACATGGTGAAGCCGATGGGCTTGGCCTCGTTAAAATTCTCCGGGACCCCACGGGTCTTTATGGCGTAAACAGTACACGTCACCATCAGTAAGATGCTGTAACCCAACGAGCAGATAATCTGGAGATCCGTGATGTCGCATTTCAACACCCCTCGAGCCAGATCGGGGTTGAGGGTCTTCTGCTCGTCGTAGTCTATGATGGTGTTGGGCGGGTCCACCCCGAACCAGATTAACACCCCTAAGAGCTGGACCGAGATTAGGCTGGAGGTGATAGCGAGCTGCGAGGTGGGACTGATCAGCCTCGGCGGCGTCACAGACTTCTTGCCCTGCTCGAAGATTCGGTAGATGCGGTTGGTTTTGGTGAGGAGGGCGGCGTAGCTGATGCACATCCCCAGACCGAGGAAAATCCTTCTAAACGAGCACACGCCGACATCTGGCTTGGCGATCATGAGGAACGTGATGATGTAGCACAGAAATATCCCAGTCAGGAGGACGTAACTCAGCTCCCTGCCAGATGCCCGGACGATCGGCGTGTCGTTGTACCGTATGAACGTAGCCATGACGAAGATTGTCGCGATGATGCCCAGCATTGCCAGGAAAACCGGAATCACCGCCCAGGGCGAGTGCCACTCCAGCTTTGTGATGGGGATGGGCTGGCAGAACGTGCGGTTGGCGCTGGGCCTCATGTTGTAGGAGCACAGCTTGCAGGTGAACTCGTCGGGCTGGAACTGGTATCCGTCGCAGGGCTCGCAGTGCCAGCAGCAGGGCATGCCTTTCACCACCTTCTTCCTCTCGCCAGTTTTACAGGGAAGGCTGCACACGGAGGTGGGAACCTCCTGTTCTCCTCGAGGCCACTGCATGTCCTCCTTCTGGAGAGAGAGCATGGAGACAGTGAATGGTTAGATCAGCGCCCCAACATATTCTCACTGCCAACTCATCAGAAACCGCTGCTCTTCATGTTGTAACACAGGGTCATTTTCTCAGGTAGGTTAGGAGGCAGGTGGAGTACCAGATGTAGTTTAGACCAGCAGTCCCCAAGCCCTGGGCCACAGACCGGTGTCAGTCCGTGAGTCGTTTGGTGCCGGGCTGTGAGAGTTGAGGCTTGGGTGTGAAATCTATGGTGTTCAGGGTTATTGTTAACTCTGTTTCCCTGGGTCTGTTCCTGTGTGTTACGAATAAATCTTTCTTTTTTTGGTACTGGTTTTATTTTGTTGTATTGTATTTGTTGTATTCGCGACACCTTAAAGGCCGGTCTGTGAAAATATTGTTGGACATAAACCGGTCCGTGGCGCAAACAAGGTTGGGACCGCCGGTTTAGACCAGTGCTTCCCAACCTTTTGGAGCCACGGCACATATTTCACATTAGATAAATCACACCACAGAAGCAAAATGTCACAAAAATCATTTGATCGTTTTCTGCCTCGCACCAGCCTCGGTTTGTCCCCAGGATACCTGTTTTGCTTTGCTTTCACTGCTCATGCTACGGCCTTCATCTGGGTCGCAGTTTTCTCCAGGACCAGGTCTCACGGACTACGTTTTCTTTTCAAACATTTATCTGGGATTACGCTATTACGCACTGCGTCGTCTCACAGCATGACGATTTTGTAATTTCTTCTTCATCTTCTTCTGTTTTACTGGCAGTTGGCAACCCATTTAATTAGAGCAGATAGTTGTACTGCCCTCTAGTGGAAGAGAAGGTAATTGTTCCGCCTATTACTCACGCCGATGGCTTAGAGCAGGGGTGTCGAACTCCAGGCCTCGAGGGCCGGTGTCCTGCAGGTTTTAGATCTCACCCTGGGTCAACACACCTGAATCACATGATTAGTTCATTACCAGGCCTCTGGATAACTTCAGGACGTGTTGATGAGGTCATTTATCCATTTAAATCAGCTGTGTTGGATCAAGGACATCTAAAACCTGCAGGACCTGGAGTTCGACGCCTGTGGCTTAGAGTACTACAGTGTTCCCTCGTTCTAAACCCACAATAGGTGAAATCCACGAAGTAGCAGCTTTATTTTTTACAATTATTATGGATGTTTTGAAAACTCCTCACTACACACTTTATACACTTTTCTCAGACAGGCATGAACATTTTCACACTTTTCTCTCTTGTTTAAACTCTCAAAGTTCAAACCTTTGTAGAAAGTCCAGTATTATAGGATGAAACCAAAGATCAAACCCTGTTTTCAGGTCCAGAACATGGAATAGAGCCGCTGCCAGAGAATTCAACATTAATGAATCACTAATGAATCAGTGGAAGTGGAGGAAGCAAGAAGAATGAGCTGAGTAAAATTTGACTTATCTGACTGTTTTGTTTCGCTTAATGTGCCTTATAAGCCGGAAAATACGGTAACTTCTACCTGCCTTTAGTCCAAATCTTTGTGCGATGGTTAGCATCTTCCTGCCGCAGGAGACTTTGACGGAGCAAACGTTTCATCGACATTGGTGTTTGTTGGGAGAAAACCTACAAACATGCAGCACTTCAGAGTCACACTGCTAGCATCGAAGATTTAAGTAAATTTGACAAGCTGAACGCGTTCTGCACTGGACACGGCACGAGAGTGAGTGACAATGGTCTACAGCCAATCAGGACGCAGAACACAATGCGCTGCAAAAAACAACAACAAAAAAAGGCACCACATCCAGAGAAAGACACCAACAACCCATCGCTCACAGGCTTTCAGTAACAGTCAGTGTCTCTGGTGTTACATGTCTACATTTGGGTTTTATATCTTGACCACTGCTCGCAGCGGCTCACTGGATCTGCTGGTTTCTACTGATGGCACTATAGGTCTTTCAACCCACTCTCATCATCAATGTGTTTTTTTGTGTTGTTGCTTTGATGCGCTGACATTATTGTCCACCAAGACATAACCTGCCAGTGTTAGAGACCTGAAACCTGTCTTAGGGGTTGCAGGAGCAGGTTATGCCAGGGTCCTGTTTGTGGAATTTAGTTCGGCTTTTAACACCATTGTGCCTGAACTTCTTTCCTCCAAACTCTCCCAGCTCAGCGTGTCACCAGCTACCTGTCAGTGGATCACCAGCTTCCTGACAGA